TGGTAGCTAAAATTTTTTGACAAAAACGCCGAGTGCATGTCGCCTGCAGGCTACGATTTTATGGCTGATTTAGCGTTAGGTGGCAGCATAAACGCATTTGCCACCCATCAACTGGCAAATTGTGCATTACGCATACGCCGCGTTAAACATTTAAGTCTGGCCTCATTTTTTGTGCAAAACAAAAGGCCTGACAGCACTTTAGCACACTCGCACAGCGCCGTGCACTTATTAAATATTTACAAATTTATGACCAAGCGAAAATTAAAGCAAACATTTTATATGCCACACACTCAGCTGCAATTTGAATTTCGAGTCCCTCGGGTTTAGAATACCACAGCTACAAAAACAAAACAGAAAAAAAAAAACAGCACGCAAATGGAATTTTTTCCGACCCTTTTTACACTCTTCAACAGGGTAATTTTAAGGCTTGCATGCAAACTTTTAAAGAGAATACAAGACTTAAGGTGTACAGATATTTATTTGAATTTCAAATAAAGATATAGACATATCTGAGAGAACATTTTTGAAATGAGAATTCATTGTTTTTTTTTTTAATTTTTATTTTTACTAACTGAATGAAATCTTCAAATAATTTTTACAATTCATAAAATTTTAGAAAATTAATGAAACAATTCTTTTATATGTGATTGAGCCCAAAAAAGGTACTAAAATATTTTTAGTCGGTAAATATAGATCAGAACAAGCTGAAAATATATATATGTAATTGTCTAATAAAGAGTAGTGCCTTATAATGTAGGCCACCAGAATTAAACAGAACAAAAACTCCAGAGGGACATGCTAAATTACTTTTTTGTCCAGCATATAAGCTGGCCTACCTGCAGGATAATAAAAAGCAGAGATTTCTCTTGGGTACTTAAAGGCTCAGCTTTAAAAGATTGAAAGCAACAAATGGTACAAAGTATAAATAAATAAAACTTTTCAGAACCCAAACCTTCACTTATTTCTTCTACTTCATGCCCTAAAACTCATTTTAGCTGCAGAGAAGCCGTAAAAAATCTGTTTAATTTATGTAAATAATTATATTTTAATTATTGTAATGCACAAATCACACATACCCTGCATACCCTGCACTCAATTTATTCAATAGCTATACAAAGTGTATGGAAAGTTGGAAAGCTTAGAATAAGGCATTTATTTTATTTACTTGACAAATTTGCATATCACTGCAGGCAAAATGATAAAAAAAAACTGAAGTGTAATAAAATATGCGCAAAAGTAAAGAGTTAATGAAAATATTTGTGGGACAGACGAACCAGGCACAACAACAATTTATTCACATGCATAAATTCAATCAAAGTTGCGCGAGGATAAAAGAAAAAAAAAACAAAAACAAAAACAAAATATGCCAAAATATGGCAAGCAAATTGAATCTCTGGAGTCTGAAATGTCAGCCGCATATCGTTTGTAATAAATTCAATTTATTAGCAACTCGACAGCTCACTCGCTCTCGCACTCACTCAATCACTTGGCCTCTTTGTCTTGGCCAAAATGGACGGGGCCCTAATTGTGTCGGCAGCAACAGCAGCAAATGTGAAATGGAATACAATTAATATTAATTTTCTGCCCGCCTCACAGCGGCTTTACCAGCAGCATTTAATGCGAAAGTTTTATTTTATTTATTTTTTTTTTTGCACGCCAATTAATTGTCACTTAAAAGCATTCACATGCTTTTGTCTCGCCGCTTTTTTGTATTTTGATGTATATGTTTTTATTTTTACTATTTTTATTTGTTGTATTCCTTTATTTTCATTTGTTAGCAGCTGTCACTTGAAATTACACAAGTGTAGGACAATTCGGCCTGAATGCATAACAAACTTTTCGAATACAACAAACTTTTTTACATGTTCTACAGTTGGGTCGATATTACAATTGCAGAGATGATGGTATGACAAACTCTGCAAATTACAATTTAGCGAGCAACTAAATAATTCTTTTGATGTTTTTCAATGTTTAGATTGAATATTGACTGAATTGAAAACTAACTTTTGTCTTATTATAGAAGTCAATTCATTAGCAAACATGAATCTAAAACAGAAAAATTAATATATAGCTTTAAAACAAATGTTAATAGGAAAAAAGCTTTAAGAAATGGTAAATTCTTTTCTAAAGGGTCTTAAAGCAAACAATTTTTCTGTGGCGCTTTGGAGTCTGAAGCTTTCAAAGTGCTTTACAACTTTAAGTCTGATTTTAAATTAATAATTGTCCAAATTTTTTGGTTATACTTTTTACAACTAATCAAACAGGCTAGAAACACCCGAAAACTTTAGGTTATACCAACTTACATATAAAACACGTCCCAAAGCTTAGGAAAAAATAGCTAATAAGCTGAGAGCAACGAATTTCACAGCATAAGCTAAATAGAATAATGCGCCGTAAAACGAAGGGCTCATGCTACTCAAAAGCCAAAGCATGAGATTACTTTACTCTCTAAATCTATGGCTTTTAATGTTATAGCGTTGCACACGATTAATCCAGCGCAAAGTCCCGCTTACAGCTAATGTCATTGAGCTTTGAACACAAAGGCGAGATAAACAAACAGAGCCATTAGCTAATTCCAACACGTTTTCTATGAGCTAGACATAGCAACAAGTCATTTAATACGTTTTGCAAGCGTATTTTAGCCCAGCTAAATGAATACCCACTCTGGCAGACTGGCGACATATTTTAATGCCAATTAATCGTTTTAATTACTAAAATTTCCTGTGTACGCTTTCAGGGGGGGAGAAAACGACCCTTTTGTAAGCCGCTTAATTTATTAACATGAACATACATTATTAGAAATTCACCCAGCAGCTGCAAATGTTGCCTAAATCGCGGCTTAAATACGCTCAGCAACATGTTGACACTGGCAGAAAAAGAGTGGGGCCAGCTTAAACACAGCGAGGGTGGACCCAAAAGTGCGGGGCACTTCGTGTCAACAGTTTCGCTGTGTATGACAGCGAAGAATATGACACAATTAATTTATGCAAGAATAATTACTAACTGAACATGAGAGGAGTGCAGTGAGTAGAGAGAAAGGGAAAGCACACACACACAGACGCACTCATAAAAATAATTCAATTTGTGATGTAAAAAAATTATGAGCTTAAATTATGCATGCAAACGTTGCCTCGGCTCATCTTAAAGAGACAAAAATATGTACATAATATATACAAGGCGATGGAGAAGTCTAGTAGGGGCAAACGGTGAAAGTCTACAAAGTATAATTTCTACCTTTTGTAAGAAACATATTTTAAATAAAATTTGTAGCTACACAGTTGCAAATTATTCAAGAGTCGTAAGTAAATTTATCTTTAAGTTATTTGGTTAAATACGTAAATGTTATAAAAAAATAACATAACAGAAGCTCCAATAGAAGCACAACAAATGATAAAAAAAAGATCCACCTACTCAGATAGACTTGCTCTCAGAAAACAGATCAATACTTGAGAGAAGATACAAAACTTTTCTGTTCTGTCGCATACATATGAGGACAATTATGATGCCTTTGGCAATTTGTACATTTACAGGGTATAGTCTATAGCGCATGACACGTGTTGGCAAAACACACGGCAGATGTTTTATATTTAGTCGTGCAAATGTTGCCTGACAATTGTCAATAGTTGAGAAAGGAAAAGCAAACGCAGCCAGCTTGCAATATTTGTCGCTACACTAACAGCCATGAGTTTGGCATTTTATTGTAGGGCTTAGAGCAACAGGCTAACACACGCACAACCAATATATACACACACACACGCACACACACCTAAATTTGTTTTATTAGCACAGCAGCAGGACAACCAAAATGTATTACCTAGCACTGGGCAAGGCAAATGTGTTTTGCTTGTATGCGTAGCAGCCCCATAGTCAGCCCACCCCCACAAAAGCCAACAACAGCTTTCAATATGCACATGTTAAGGCAAGACGCAGAAGACGTTGGGGCTTTGTGCTACTATATAGGCGACAATAGCAATAGCAGCTGCCGCTGCCGCCGGTTTCTTTATCAATGTTGTCAAGCTGCGCTGTTTGCACAGCAAATGCCAGACAGCAACAACAAGAACAGCAACAACAAGAAAAACAACAACGCGAATGACAACGATGCCATTTATTCATTGTCCGTTCGCAAGTTGATTGTTTGCTTACTTTTATCATCGATTTCGTGCTGTTGTCGCTACGGAAATAATCGACAAAAGTTTTTAATCAACATCATACACACACACACACACACACACACACACACACACACACGCACATAGATACATACATAAATATGAAAATGGTTTTTCCTCATTTACCTTACTTTGTAAGCATTACATTCATTAAACGCCTCCAAACAACAGCTTTTAGGGGCGGCAACGCGTCAGCAATTTTCCGTTTGGTCGCCTGGATTATGAGCGGCGCTTAATGCAAATTGGCAAAATTAATTATTAAATTACACGAAAAAGGCATTTGAGGTTTTCATCTACAAGCTTCGATTTGTGGCCAATGTGTTTATGTGTGTGTGCGCATGTGTGTGTTTGTGCCCGCAGCTGTTGTTCAATTGAGTAAATTTCCCCTTTGAAAGTTAATTAAAAATTTGTTTCTTGTTTCAACTGCAACCGAGCCCCACACATAGGAGCCTTTGTTCTATGCCCTCAAAAGTAGGCAACACAAATTGAAATGTTAAGCATACGCCACGTGTGAGGGCCAGACAAAGGCTGAGGCTCATTCGACCAAAGAAACCGCCAAGCGTTGTGGCTCAGAATTTGTATTTGAATACTTGCAACAAGATATTTAAAGACCAATGGCATTTCAATTATCCATTTAAGGCATTTCACAAACGAATGCACATTACAGCAATGTGTTAAGGAATGTGGTCAAACTACAAAGATCAGATTTCAGCTCTAATTTCCGGTGTACTTTCTTGTGGAGGCATGTGAAATTTCAATTCAAAAGATGTCAACTAATGCGAACGAGGGATTCCTTTTTATAAAATAACAGCATTTAGTTTTGATAATGATGTTGAAAAGTAGCACAAAACCTAACATTTCTTAACAAATTAAATTAAATTTTATTATTTGTCACAAAGTAGGCGAGAAGCATGAAAAAAAAAAATGAGCTGAACAACATTTTAAGAAACGGAAATAAAATCGGGCACAAATTCAACTCGCATTTAAATTGTTGATTGGCAACGCGCGACGCGGGCGCCTCAATTAAACAGCTTGACTTCAATTCCAGCGATGGCAGCCCGTACAGGCCGACACGCATAAATAATGCAGGCGATGCTGATGCGCATATCGATGGCATTTTTAATTGAAGTGTGCAACATCCGAGCGACACGCAGCGAAAGGGGAAGCGGCAGAAGCTGGTGCAGCAATCGAAGCAGGTCAGCGTATACTTTTATGACAAAAAAAGCGGTTTAAAATTTAATTAAATCAACTCGTTGTTGTTGATTTAATTGAATACAGCCATGTCAGTAGCGGTGCGAAGAACTCTTCAGCTTTGACACTACGCAATTTGCATGCAAATGCATTTCATTTTTTTTTTTTCGCTGTGGTCGCAATTTTTGCAAATCAAATACAATTTGCAAGAGGCGCTAGCACTTTAGCAGCTGCTTAAATATTTAAGGGCGGCGAACCAAAGGTTTTCTTTTATCAAGCCAGCGCACAGACACAACTTGCGTTGACAGTCCGTCTGTTTGTCTGTCTGTCTGTCTGTCTGTCCATCACATGGCAGTTGTTGTTGTTTTATTTTTGTTTGCCATATATGCAATGTGTCACACTGTATAGACAGTGGAACAGACAGGCAGTCAGTCGAGCAGTCGAGCAGACGAGCAGACGGGCAGTTGCAGTTGCCTGCGCTTGTTGTCTGTCTGTCAAACTGTTTTGTCACAGCGTTTGTCATGCACTTAGCCAAGTTTACCAGCTGCCACGTTGTTTTAGCCTCAGCTTCATGGCAACAGAGCTTCAGCTTGGGCGCGCTGCCAAGCCATAAAATATTTATGAATTTATATTGCAGTCAGGCTGACTCGCTGGCTGGCTTACTAGTTGGCCGTTTGGCTGGTTGGCTTGTTGGTTGGCAGCCGGTTGCAACTTGATTTATCGCACCACATGTCAAAATATTTCAACAGAAATTCAATTTTATGGTTTTTGTATACCCTTGCAGAGGCCACAAGAGCTGCGCCCTTAAATTTGTCAAGTATACCTTGCATAGCCTCTTTTTCTTGCTAGAAACTGTCGATAAGTTCGATAGTCAATTATCAGCACAGTTGCATTTTCTTAAATATGGCGAGGTTCCGGATGCCAATCCCAGGTAAGCTTATGTTTGTGTAATATAATATAATTGTAAGACCAATTAACACCTTCAAGTTCTAATATTCTCTTGATTAAACATATTTAAGAGGAGTAGGGCTATTAAGTTTAATTCAATTTAAAAGGAATCCGCGGCAATAATATCGATTATGTTATTAATAAATTTGTTGGTGCTAGAAGACAACCACAAAATAATATTTTTAATTAAATCATCTACAAATCACGAAAGAACTCCGCAATTACCACAGAAATAATTCCCTGAAAATTGATAGAAATCAATTTGACCTTTCTGCCAAATTTAAATCCGATTACAAATAAATTTAAATAAAAAATATGTTCATTTGATTGTTTTTGGTTTGACATGATTTCAATTAAAGTCAGATTAGCTAACCATTCACATGGATGGCGTAAGGTAAAAGTGAATTGAATATTCGGCATTCTGTAAAAGCATTTTTTTTTTTCTATTTTTCTTTGTCGTTTCGTTGTTTTCCGATAAGTGACTTTGCCGAAGTGAGTGCATTAAAGTCGCTGTCGCAAGTTGTTAACTTGCCTGATAAGTTGATAAATGATGCCAGCCGAAAATTAATAATAAAACAAAACTTTCAAGTGTGTGAGCGCGCGACAAGAGGGCTAGAGGGGTGGGGCAGCAGTGCAAAGTTTTCAGGCAGCTGCCAGTCGAATGAAATTGCGTCAGAAATGTGTGCCATAATTTCATTGAGCTTGAGCTGACTTTAAATGTCTGCTGCAATTGCAGCACGTAAGACTTTTGCTCTTCTGTATGCTATTTTTATTATAGTTTTTTTTTTTCTTGCCTTATATTGCGCTGCACAAATCTCAATTGCAGTTGCGTTTTTTTTATGGCTGTTGCAATTGGCTCCTACGCTGTTAAGTCTTAATATTCTACTTGGCTTACTTGCATGTTTCTGCTGCTGCAAGGACTGCTACGAGGCAAATACTTGCCGCGCTAAGCTGTGAACTTTCTGCAGGAATGCACACAAAAAAAAAGGGAGAGCACAGCTGCCCGAGGCGCTTTTCACACTCAGTTGCAGCAGTGGCAGCTGCCTCGAGCTGGTTCATCTATTTAGTTGCCTGCACTACATTCCTACATATATATATATATATATATAAATACATTTAAATGTCTTTGGCCACATTTTGCATAAAATGAGTTTTTGGCCAAGGGGTCAGCGGGCCAACTGGCCAGCTTTAATGCGGTCAAGTCGTTCTTGCCACATGGACTAAATAACTTTATTAGTTTCTGTGGTTTTAAGCCCGAAATTTAGCACAAAATACATATATCTATATTCATTGCCCTGCCGTGTTGGCATAGTTTTTGTGGTCACTGTTAATTAATTTAATTATCTTCTATTCGATTGTGCACTTTCAGCTCAAATAGAGCGCATGCCAAATATTTGCAAAGTAATCATTCGAAAATAATTAAATGCAATAAATTGCACAAATAAATTTATGCAAGAGAATTAATATTGTATATTAAGCCGCCAGCAGCTGCTTTTAAATACATTTGCAATCAATTTTATAAAATGCTTCACAATTTGTCATAAATTAAATACAATATTTTATTGGCTACTGTTTATTAATTTCATTGTTATTTCCCATTATTTTTTTTTTTTTTGCTAAGAAATTGTTGAGGACTTAAATATTTTGCCAAGAGCAGCTGCTACTCAAAACTCGATAGACAGTTAGAAACTTTGAACAAAAATAATGTAAGAAAGTTTATGAATATATTTAATAAAATGAAAATTTAAAGCATGAAGCCTCTTAAAGTAAATATAACTTTTATTGGACTTAAGATTGTACTTTGCGAAAAAATCTTAAGTTTTTAAACTATAATTTCTGTTTGCGCTAAGTACGAATTTTCTATAAGAAGTAACAATTTAATTAAACTAATTTGTCAGTCAAAAAATACAGAAAAAAAATGGATATTTCCGAAAATGTCTTTCGACTAAGTTCAACTGAATAAACTTGGTATGTTCGGATCAATAATCTAAACAGAATTACTGAGGAAAAAGCTCATATTCTTAAGCGCATTAATATCAATTGTTGAAAACAATTTGAGATAATTTTCTCAATGCAGAAGAAACCAAAAATAGTATTGTTCTTGTGCATTTACTAGAGTAAAAATAATATTAAAATAAATTTAATTTACTGTCCTAACCAGCTATGCTTTATACTTGGCATAACATTTAATTTCTGTTGCATTTAAATTTACGGCGTCATATTTCTTTTTATATTGAATCAGACGCCATTAGAAGAACAATAAAAAATACCGTTAAAATATTAAACAAAAGATTTATCGCACAATGCGAGCTGCATTGCTTCTCACAAACTGCAAAAATGCCTGAAAAATAGTTTTACTTGAAAATTGTTAAGCTTTATTTTAATGTGAATTTTAACGTTCGAATGTTGAACTTCAACAACGCAAATAAACATTTTTTAACTATAAATTACTTTTAATGCATTTATAAAATATGCACATATTTAAGTACAAATATTAAAAATTAAACATATCTTGCAAATTTATTAATAATATATATTCATTTGTTGATTTATATATTAGCCGTTACACAATTCGTATAAAAACCGCAAAGAATGTTTTTAATATCATAATTTGCGCATATATTAATATATATATACATATATATACCCTGTGTGGGCTGACAATTTATAAGCTTTTAGTCGAATCAAAATCCCTTGCTAATCATTTTAGCTTACAATAAAAATTGTGTTCAACATGCAAGCTGGCAATTTGTATCACACATACGTACACATATGTAGCTTTGATTTGCCGCAGTCCAATCAGAAAACATTTCAATAATATTCAAAAGACACACACAACCGGGCGCAAGGGCAATCAGCAAACAATTTGGCAAATGCAAATAGCTCTGAACAATAATCAAGTAAAAAGTTCAACGGAAATGCAAAAATAAATTATTTACCACAAAAATATGTCGCCCATATGAACATATATATATGCGATTTTATAGAGTACATGTGATGACATATGCTGCCCTTTTTTTATATACATAAAAAGTATAAGCTTTAATTAAATGATAAATGTGAAGGCGCAGCGATGCGAAATCAGCTGCAAAATGAAATTTCAGCTGTGAAATGCGTTCGGAGCTGTGGGCATTAAAGGCTTTAGGGCTTGTCAAGGTGAACGTGCCACGCCTACATTAGTTTTTGGGGCGTGAAACAGGAACAGGCAAGACTATGCTCAGACGCTGCTTTAAAAAGAGGGGCGCAAAATAAACTGGCAACGCAGTTAATTTCATAAGGCACATGACGTATACGCCCCATAAGCCATAGCTGTGTTTGTGATGGTGTTTGTGTGTGAGTGTGTATGTTTGTGTGTATGCTGAGCAGTCATGCATGTTTATACATAACGAGCATAGCTGTGTGTGTGTGTGTGTGTGTGTGTGCGTGTTTTTTGGCCCCTTTGCTGGAACCGGGAGTTCTGGGCACTTGAGCGGTTTTTGTTACCTGACGTCAATCGATTGATTTTGCCCCGCTCTAAACGCCCCCTTTCCCCCCGCACCACTTCAAGCATTATTTACTCAACATGCACCATACATATTCATATGATACCTAGCTCATTCCTAATTGCTCCGCCACACACACACACACACACACACACACACACACACACACATATATATGTATATATATAAAAATATATATAGAGAGAGTCTCTCATCAATATGGTATACATTGCCTGATTTATTATGCAATAATTAAGTACCTTGTACCTTGTCTGGCTTTTCGTATCAAGGTCCTTCCAGCTACCCAACCTTTTGTATAGAATGTCTATCTATTATTTTGAACATATGTTTCACTTGTTCTCAGCTGTCACAAGGGTTCTCATACCCATCGATCTGATTAATGCATTAAATAACTGTCTGAGTCAATTATTGAGGCGCCTCATGAACTGGCGAAAGTTTTTGTTAGGACTTGGCTTTCATCATGTCGTCTTGTTTCGTTTCTGTTCGTTTCGTCTGGTGTCGCATGTCGTCGTCTGTCATAAATGCGTGGCATATCGTCACATATGTCATTTGGCTTTTATGCCTTTATGGCCACTCGCTGATACCGTTTTATGGTGCATGCCAGATGAAATTTTAATAGCTGCACCGAAACCAAACACACGGCTCAGCATTTTAAATTTCGTGGCGCAATTATTATTTTAGCGTTTGGAAACAGTCGTCATGATGTTCCTGGGGCTTGCCCCAAACTCCACATAAACATAAAACTGCCCTCATTTGAGCGAGTAGCTCTTCAACAATCGCTTGCGAATTATTTATTATGCATTTGCATATGTTTTATCCACTAAATTTTTCTATTGAAAAAATTGTTTACCACGATATATTTGAACGTTTTTTTCCAATACCTTTAATCAGTTTTGTTTTCTCTTTGTGTCATATTCGTAAACCTTTTACAGTCTATCACTAATTTTACTAATATTCTTTCTTTGCGTCTTTCTCCCGTTTTGTATCTTAATTTTTAACTTTATTCTTAACCTCCCTTTGTTTCTCTCTTCTTTTCTCCCTTGCTCTCTCTTCTCCCGCTCTCGCAGTGTAAGCTTCTCTCCTTTCTACTTTTTCTTTTTTTTCTTTAAGATTTTTTTATTTTTTTTTGTGGCTGATTCCTAAACGTTGCACAAATGATTTATACCGACGCATTCACATCATGTCTCTTAAGACAGTCTTCTCTCATTTTTTTTCACTGTCTCCTCTGTCTCTCTATGGCTGCCTCCTATCTCTCTCTCACTTTTTATTTCTTTATCTCTCTTTTTCTGTTTCTCAGTTTCTCTCTCTCTCTTAACTTCATAGGTATGTTCTGCCTCTCTCTCTCTCTCTGTTGTAACTCTCAATTTCTTTTTCATTTATCTGTATCTGCCTTTGGCTCTTTCTCTCCGGCTGTGTGTGTCTCTTTTTCCACGTGTCTCTTTTTCTCTCCTATTGCCTTAATCGTTTTTCCAATTCCTTTTTGTGACTTATTCGTAAACGTTGCAGATACATTTTATGCTGACGCAGTCACACTTTCTCCCCAAAGACCGTATTCATCCGATCTTTAAGCCAATACAAATAGAAATGGGACTTTCCTAAGGATTTATTTAATGCAAGCGTTTTGCGTGCTCAGATTCAATCAAAGTATTATTAGTGCAGATACAAATATAAAAATAAATACATATTAATCAGATGGCGCCACATGCCCCTCTGTTATTCCTGTTTCTCAATTGCCTCTCCCAATGGCCCGCACTTAATTCAGCAATAAAGACCACAACCGCAATAACATGTCCAATAAGTAGAAAATGCCATAACAAATTCAGGTCGCCGCTATGGAGAGGAGCTAAAACCTGACCAATAGTCGTTGTATTAACCATCGATGGTGCCTTGACCCTTAGCATATCCTGATTGGTCCGCGTTTCCAGCCATTTATCGATACCGAAGCCTTGCACATCCAAAATGAAGTGATCTAGGGCTTCAGCATATATGGAATTCCTTTGCACGACTGTATTCACAGGAAACTCTCTGGCAATGTGCAAGGCATTCGTCTTGCACAGAATCTGTCGCTTATAAGTTTTTTGATAATAGTCCAAGGCATTCCAGAGATAGGAATAGGTCTGATAGGCATAGCTCGTATTAAGGGAAAGTATCAAATCAGCTTGATCCTTGGAGACCATGAAGACAGCATTGGGCACATGTCTCTTGAAGAATGAGGCATCGTATTCCGCCTCGATGAGCACACGTGTGCTCCAAGAAAAGACAACTGGCAAACGGCTGGCATTCAGCTCCGCATAGCTCTGAATGGGCGCGTCGTGCGGATGTTTGGTCAACAAGGTGCTCAACTGGGCATTGAAACAGGTGCCAATTAGCAAGCCGAAGAAGCTCAGCTGCACAAGCAGCTGCCGCAACGAGTAGCTGGTCCAGTGACTAGTCGGCGCCGCTTGGCTCAGAAAAAAACGAAGCACAGTCAAATTAAAGCAGAACTTGGAATATCGAAAATGTAAATGACGTTCCAGCAGGCAAGAATTGACGCTTGTGGCCAGAGTCTCGAATACGGCAAAGCTCAAGTAGATGCTCAGCAGCCAGGTTAACCAGTTCAACGGAAACAGACGCCTATAGATCCGTTCAATACTCAACTCCCTGCCGCAGGGCACGACCATAAACATGCTGACCATGCCCAAGCTGGCGGTGTTTTGTGTGCCCGCGTATTTGAGGCTCTGCGCAAACGGCTGCAAATTGGCCACGATATCCACCTTTCCAATATTTATCAGGGTCATGATCTGTGGCGTATACAAAATGGGCGATGATTTATTCAAAGTACTTATGTACGGTATCAGTTTGATATTGCGATGTTTGGCAAAGCTGTGCAGCAGATTGTAGCAGAAGCCATTGATGTACTCTTTGCCCGTCTTGGGATCGCGGCTTATGAAGCTGTTGGGCGGCACCAGTGAGGATATTATGTACGCCGTTTTGCCCTGAAAATTGCGCCAGTGTTGGCAAAAGATGCGTTCAGTGCTGTTAAGCAGCAGCGGCTCGTAGCTGGGCGTCGGAAATGGTCGCATGCGTAACACAGCAAATTCAGTAGTGCCTCGAAGTATTAGTATATTATAGAAATGATAATCAATTGCCTGCTGGGCGATTATATCGAGAAATGCCTGTGGCACCTGTGCTGCCTCCAGCTGCAGCCAGATTACAATGCGGCCCTCTCGCATGCCCTCAAAGTTGGCGGCCAGTGCGGTCAGTAAGACTGCATCACTTAATTCCCGCATGCAAACGAGTGCCAGAGCCTCTCGAGTAGTATTTCTTACAATGATCTTCTCATGTTCATCGTAACGCAACACTGGCCAATCATCTGCTTGCCAGTGTTGCAAATCGCCAAAGCCATTGTCCCGGCGACGCTGTAGCAGCAACAGCAACAGAATTGGCCGCTCCTCGTGCAGCCTGGCCACAAAATTATAGAGAAAATCTTGTCGTCTGCCTCCAATTGCAGCTGCAATTTCAGATCCCGGCCAGCTTTGACAAAGTGTGGCCAGGACCAGACACAGTAGCAGTTCGTTTGCGTCCATTACAATCCGCTTATGCTTCCTTCCCAGAACTGAACTCCTGGCAGACTTATGACAGCTATTTTAAAGCCTTATCGTGCAATCAATTATAATTGCATTAAAAGCGTACTTTTTGAAAACCATTTTCAGCACTTTACTCTGACTGAAGCTGACATTTAATGGGCATTAGCCGATGGCGAAGCAGGCAAAACGATAAACATCCGTAGGCAAAGTGAATTCAGACAGCAAAAGGTATTTTTTTAATGGAAATATTAAATTGCGAGGAAATGTTTGCCCATACAAGATATTCCTCAATTAAAGCTAAATATAACTAGATAAAAATGCGGCTCTATGCACAGAGTTATGATTCATTTTAAGTTAAGGTTTAAAAAATCAATGAGAATATATAAGATATCAGATAAAAATAAAATGTTAAGCCACAGACAATTCTAGCTGTCATGGATGTTCTGGTAAATAATGTATATGCAAATCTATTGAAATAGATATTCCTAGTCAGTATATAAAACAGATGCGTGATAAGCATTTCATTTCAAACTAGGCTTTTAGTCTTGATGAAACTTGGCAATTACATTAGGGACAGTTCAGAGTTAGAACGCGGCAAAGTCCATGCACTGTATCATATATCATATCATATATGGCATATCATATGTCATATATTTGTGGCTTCACATGCCCTTTTAGGTTAACGATATTGCGTATACGTTATCTTTAATGTTATTGTTAACGCAACTCAAGTTAGTATTTGCATATGCTATGCAATAACTTATGTATAATAACTAGTTTTAAATGCCAATACACGTTATATTTCAACACTGTCTCCTTCCACAACCACAAGCCAACCCAAGCTAATTTCCATTCTCGCCAATTCACAGTTCTAATTGTAGGCGTTTCGCCTTCTATGCTCGTCAAGGTGCATGCTAAATTTGTAATGTCAGCAGGCGGCGCATAAAGCTGCTAATTAACAGCGGATTGCGCGATGGAACGGAAGCAGATATCGTGTATACGCACCGTGCGTTTTGTTATTAAAATAAGCATGAATTTAAAGTGCTACTTGGCGAATATAAGAGGAAACAAAATGTAACCAAAATATATAGCTGGAGAGGAACACGCATGTATTTTGTTAAATATTTAATTAAAAGCACAACATGCGACGCTAATTATGGCCAACAAGCGAGGTCTAAAACTAAGTCCCAGCTAAGCCCGCCCCAGCCAACTGCCAGTTACGTGGATGACAGCGGTTTTGCCTCTTCCGGCGGCAAATGCCGGGCCTTGTTTGGGCGTTGGGGGGGAAGGATCGGGTATAGGAAATGCTCGGGCACAGTTTGTTGTTATTTTGCATTAGAAACTCACTCGAGCTGAACCCAAACGACATAATTCACAGAAGCGCTTTGGCAGTTACTCGCTGCCAGGACGTACCCGGTCCGGGTCCGAGTCCGGAGCACCGGCCACAGGGCTTCCGGCTTTGCCTGACGCCAGCGTCCGGCAAGTGTCAGTTGCAGTGTTGCTGCTGCTGGCTGGTGTCGGTCTCCGTGGCAGTTGCAATGCCAGTTCGTGCAACATTTCAAGCGCATTTAATGCGCATAATGTCAACTGCAATGACTACAAGAGCTGTGGACACAAACCACAGTTGTGCGACCCAACTCTCAGCTGAGTTAGCATTTGTTTACTCTTTTGCGGCTATGTTGATGTCTACAAGCCCGGCTGGAGACGCCCAGCCACCCAGCCATGCCCCCTTTAATTGAGCAAGCTGTACTAAAAATTTGTGCACATTTCATAGGACACCTCAAGCCCCATAAATGCCGTGCACAATTCAACAAGAACGTGCTGCAAATTGCAGCATGTAAACAAACGGAAGCCGATTGTTCTTAGCTTTGTCTTTGGGGAATTTTTGTCAATTGCATTTGTACACACAATTTTGTTGTTTTAAATAAAAGATCAGAGAAAAATAACAAAAGTCCGACAATATTACTTAGAAAATAGCACTGCAAAGCTGACAAACAGAAAAAAAGTAGAGAAGGCTTCGACTAAAGACAAGGGAAAATCAAACATAAAACTATTTAGGTTACGGATGGCACACAACGAATAAGAGAAGAAAAAATGAAGACGGAGGAGAGAATATATTTACATTATTCAAACATAATGGAAAATCCCATATCAAGGAGAAAAGGCAGCAAATGTTGAGAGTTGAGTAAAAGAACGAGAAATATTGCATTCACACTCTATTATTTTAAAGGTTGCCATAAAAAAATATCTCAAACGCTTAAAAATGCATAGAAAGTAACAAAGAGCATTCCCACTCTGCAAGTCAAGTGCTTGCGAATGTTTCGCAATGTAAAATTACATTATTAAATATTCCAAAGCGAGAGCAAGGCAATTTGAGCGAAACGCTTAAGAATGTCAGGCAATAAAGGCAACAAAAAGAAGTATGCCATATAAAATATTTTAATTTTCACATGAAAACATTATCTAACAAATTGTTCAAGAATGTGACACACAATATCGACAAATTATATACGGCAAATATGCAACTGTAGAAATATTTTCGGCAATTCAACTTACAATCAAGAGGCAACGCATTCAGCGAATTTTTAACATCAACTGAATCTAAAATAGAATTTTAATTTGCATTTTATGCAAATTTACACAAATTGGTCATTTGAGCGCATTTAAGTGCATTGCCATGTTGTCAGCTGGAATTATCAATTATTCGCGAGTTAACCAAATAGACAAGGCAAAGCCTGACGACCTGAGTTTTCAATAATTCAAACTATAATTTAATTATACAGTACGAGAAAGAGTTAAAAAAAAAAAAAAACACTTTCGCTTGGGTCAAGCACTAGAGCATGTTTAAAGCATTTGGCCATTAACATACTTATGTTGGCCAAAAAAAAATAAACACAGCTGACCAAAGAGTGAAACCGAAATAAATGCCAAACACACCCATACACACACATACAGAGAGAGAGAGAGAGAGAGAGAGAGAGAGAGAGAGAGAGAGGGAGAGGGAGAGAGAGAGAGGGACAGAGAAAGTTTAACCTTTATTGATATAAAATTTACGCACGTAAGCAAACAATTTGCTGCTCCACTCGACAAAAAAAAAAAAACAGATGTAGAAAATAATAAAAATAAAACAAATGCCAGAAATTCGAAAAGAAAAACTTGCACAATTTTCTTTTATTTTATTCATATATATATTTTTTTTCTTTTGTCTTGCGACGACTTTTGTGCGTCTTGCGGCTGCGGATGCGATTGCGTCTACGGATGCGGATTCATAGACGAGTGCACACTTGAGTCGATGGCGAGCTGCCTGAGCACAGGCAACACCTAGGAGGACGAAACAACGGCAACAACAACAGGAACAACAAATACATACCATGTTTTTTTCTGTTTCGCTACACTCGTTGTGTGCGTGTGTGTGTGTGTGCGCGCGAGCGTGTGTGCTTGGCTTTTATGAGCTTCAAGTTTGGAGTTTCTGTTTCTATTTTATTTGCGTTTATTTGTTGCCCGTTATATTTTGTGTGTGTGTGGCAAACGATGCCCACAGGACAACACTCGGGCGAAGGATTGCGCGAGCGCGACTGCGACTGCGACTGCGACTGGGACTGGGATGCGGCCAAGCATTGTAAAGGTTAACAGCAGCATGTAATAAATTTTAACTTGCAGTCAAGTAAGTGTTCACGTTGAACTTTGAATCTTTCTCGCACTGCGGCAAACGAATTGGGCTTGGCATAGGTTTCAAGCCTGCCTGCCTGGCCGTGCACATAAATAAGTTACCTAAACACACACACACGCACAGACAGCTTAACCTGGTCCAAAGAGCTGGTCACAACAAACAAATATCTCGGAGTTCGGTTATTTATTTATATTTATGCGCTCAAACACGCATTGGAGACAGCGCAAGTGCGACAGAGAGGGCGAGAGTTGACAGCAGCAGGGAAAACAAAAAATGTTATTGCCACTTATTTGTTTAGGTCGGGCTAAAACCAAATTAAATATTTAAGCCAGACAGCTAGGAGTTTGCTGCTATTGATTTATATGCACCACACACACGCGTTTGCTATTATATCTATTTTATTTTATTTGTTTTTTTTTTTTTTTTATTTTGTACTAGTTTTTTGTTAATTATACACTTGTTTTTGGCCAGATTTATGGGAACCGGTTCCCAGCAATTATTGTGGAGGGCTTTATTTCTAAAAGTTGCGCGAATTGTTCGAAAAAACTAATTTGCTAACAATTGAAATAGTTTTTAATTAATATGCTAGAAATTGTGCAGCGGCAGTAAGCTATTATTTAGAAATTAATTTAATTGTAATCAATTAGTTTTCTAATTTAAACAAACTACAATTTATAATTGAACTAGTCTTGTTTGAATCAATTTTACTAGAATTAAATTCACTAGGCAATTCAGTTTAATTCGTTTATTTTAATTTAGTTGAATTTAATTTTGTTTAATTTTGTAATAAGCACTTGGCAAAATATCCGTTACGAAAAAAAATGCAACTTGGCTGCTTCGCGAATTTCGACATTTTGGCACGAAAAATGTCACCGAACGCAGCACGAAGCACAAAATCACGTACACGCACGCACAGACACGAAGAATCATGCACACACTCAAGCGCTGTGTGTGCTCGGGAAAATTGTTTGAAGGAAAATGCTTGAACAGGCGGCCGCACAGTACGAGTGAAAATCACATGTTTCATGTGCAAAGTATAAAAGCAAACTGAAGCCCGATGTCGCAGGCATCGCGGTGCCCGAGTTGTTCAACAGAGCCGAGCAATCGTTAGACGCGGCGTATGCGTAACATGACAGGACCTACACAGACAAACACACACATACACAGACACACGCTGAGTTGAGAGCTTTCCTTGGACGCAAAAGAGAGCGGACACAAGTACAAAAGCTCGCTCTGTTAAGTAAATGTTAAGTTAACAGTGCTCGCTGTTTGACAAATTGGTAATTCGAATGTTTACAGGCAACAGAATTGAATAGTTCTTGGATTTGAACTATTCAAACTATACGAAGTGACTCTGATAAAAATGAATAGGCAAATTGGGACCACACAGCAGAAAAATATTGAATAATGTGACATAAAATTCAAGACACCGCAAATAACACTTACAGGTTATCCAACAATAATAACATATCAGAGTAATGCAAATAATATTAAGAATTATCATAATAATATTAACTAATAATAAGTTATACAATAAATTGTAATAATGAGAGATTCACAAAACAAAGCCACATTCTAATATACTATTCACATTTAAATAAATAAAATATAAAAATTATATCTATTCAATTATTTTAATTTAAATATTTAAAGTTAAATATATAAACTGTTTTAAATATTTTCATGTGATTTTAAAAGTTTAATATATGAACGGAGAATTAAGCTAATAAACTTTTAGTTATACGCTGAGCAATTAACATTTTCCTGGAATACAAAATCTTGATTTGCATATTAATGAAAAACACTAAGAGCATTTTTTAAATGGGGTTTTCGATCGGACCTAATGAAATTTCTAATAATTTAGCAAACAATGAAAAAAGCATTAGACCGCTTGTTGTTAAATATTTAAAGAGCCTACATTTATTTGAAATTAACAAATTATAAGCTTTTCACATAAGTTTTAAATCAAAAAACATTTGTTAGTTCGCATTAGTTGAATATTTTAGGTCTTTACATTTTGCTGGAACATTTAAAGACGCAGCTCAGTTGTTTGCTTTTGTTCTCCCACTCACTTGTGATTTTCAGACCATTTAACTAGACAAACTGTTTCACACAACAACGCTGAAACAACAACAAATATCGACAATGACAACAACAATGAAATGTTGTTAACAAGCTCAGAGTCTAATTAACGTTAGACGCTGTCATATTTATGACCGCAACTCGACATTTATTTCAGTGTCATGTGGAGAAGCAGACAATGTGCCAGCCGCAGAGACGACCACAAATCATTTAAGGCTCTAATTAAATTTAAAAGGCCAACAACACACACACACACACACACACACGCCCCCCTCAAGTGCTACAGCCGAGCAACAGGTGGCGCCACACACATGCAAATATTACATTAATTGCCGCACACAGACCGCAATAAGCTAACGAAATTGCGCATACGCAACGTGGCACAGTCAAAAATGGGCTTTTAATGCTGTAACTTGCATTTCATAATAAATACATAAGTTAAATGTCATTTATTTAATGGAGTATAGCACACATTGCCATTCAATAAATTCAGACAAATGACAAATGTAAACAGCGATAAATGTCATAATGCCAAAGCAAAACAACACAGCGGGCGGCAGAGCAGCAAAGCAAAACAAAACCAAGACCATGTACCTACAACAACAGCAAAAGGGACCAATAAATCAATGGCATGGACAAGCGAGAGGGCAGCAGCTACTGCTGCTAGCCAGCGGCTAGAGTAACGCCTGAATTCCATTTGGAATGCCAAACACAACAGACGATGCCACACGCAGCTGGATGGCCACTCAAGCAGGCAGGCTGCGAGACAGGCCAATAGGCAGGACACACAGGACACGCAGGACAGGCAGGACAGCAGCTGCCTCAAGTCAAGTCAAGTCAAGTCAAGTGTAACAGGCTGGCATTGACAATGCCAACGCAACTCTGTCTCTCTGTGCGTTGAGTGCCGAGTGTTAACATACTAATATACACTTTGCATCTTAATCGTCCCTTGCCGTTAGAGCCTGTTAGCCTGCCAGCAGCAACAACAACAACTACAAAAACAACTGGTACAACATTATAGCTATCTGCCTGCCTGTTAATGCTGATGACAATGATAGCCGAGTGTGCCAAAGGATGCCTTTGGCACTACGCCTAACGTCTGGGCCAAAGTCTTGATTGCGGCCTAAATCTACTTTCAGCTACGCAGCTATTATTGTTATTGTTTTTGTTATTTGTGCTATCATTATTATTGACATATTTATGGCATAATTGTTTGTTTATTTTGTTCTGTTATTGCATATACTTTATGCATAATTTAACTGCAATATCAAAAGCAGTTTAGTTGAATGGATTATAATCCTTGCATATGCTTTTCATAATCTGAATAGCTTACGCTTCATATACAACATTTCTGGCTTAAATATCAAATCAGCAAATCAGCATTGGCTGGGAACGGTATGCGGGCATAAGAACACAATAGAAATTATTTACCTAGTTTAAAACGCTGCAATAATAATTTGTTAAGTGAAACGACATGCAATATAATTTGATTAATTAATTTTTATATAATCATCTGCCTGCTTCTATCCTTTATTCCTTTATTCCTTTGCAAATAAACAAAGCTACTTTTGCGGGTTTGTGTCTTCACAATATATACTAATATATGCAAAATCTAGTACACAATACTATATAATATCTCAATACGCTAATCAAAATAAGGAAATCATTCAATCAAATATTGAACAAAAAATATGCTAAATGCTCAATTAAATGTAACCAAATGACAGGTTAACTCAGTTTTTACAGCTGATTAATTTATTAATTAAGTTCAAGGTCGATAAAAAGTACTTTTGTTTAAATTTTTTTTTTTATATTAAAATAATTGTCTCGTTTTTAAATGTTTACAATTATTTTATATTTATTAAGCTTTAAATATAACTTTTTATTTTATGTTAATTTAAATATATCATTGGAACTGTAAAAATAGAATCTATTTGATAATTGTCTCTCTTTTAACGTTTCACAAAACGCCATCTGTTGCACTCGCTGCCAAACTGCACGCACAGGAACTCTACACAAAAAGCTCTCGCATAGTACAGAAACAACAACAAAAACGAAAGCACACGCAATGGGTCAGCATTAGCGGGCAACTGTTAACGAGCCGCTGCGAATGAAATGCTTGCTTTTTTTTCTGCGCACTGGCAACGCTGCAACAGCCGCACGCTCTCGACTCGCTCTCACGCAGCGAATAACAAGCACAAAGCAGAAGCGGCGCAAGCA